GAGGACTGGGAGGGAGTATGGAGGCGGAGAGGGAGGGAGAGAGGAGGACGAAGAGAGGAAGGAGGACGAGGAGGGAGAGAGGCAGAGGAAGAGGTAGGAGAAAGGAGGACGAGGAGGATGAAGAAGAATGGAGTAGGAGGAGGATGAGGACGAGGAGGAAGAAAGGAGGAAAAGGCGGACACCCCCCCCCCACCACAGCGGAGCATAGCACCACAACCCCCCACCCCCCTTCCAAAACATCGAAAACAAAAAAACAAAAAAAACCAGCAGATTTGGACAGCTCTTCAGAAACGCAAACAAAACCCGCCCCCCCCCCCCCCCCCCCCCCCCAAAAAAAAAAAAAAAAAAAAGTCCGAAAATCAGTCACCCGGGCAACTCCAGGCGGGCCGGTCCGGGCGACTTTCATAGCCTAGGTAGGAACGGTAAAAGTCAAGTGGTGGTTATAATAGACAGATTTAGTAAGTTCGTTGTTTTCGTTCCGTTCCCTGCCCAGGCGAAGACCGAGTTAGTAATTAGGGAGTTCTTTAACCATTGGTTCCAAGGACTACGGCACTCGACCATAGTTAGTGACCACGACACAAGGTTTACAGGTGAGCACTGGCAGCAACTGACGAAGGTCTATGGGTCCAAGCTGACCATGTCATCAGGCCGACACCCCGAGACGAACGGCCAGACTGAACAGATGAGCAAGCAGCTGCAGCAAGTGCTACAGATGTATATTAGACCAAACCAGGAGGATTGGGATGAGCACCTCCCTAACATCACAAGTGTGTACAACAATTCAATACACTTGGCTACCTCGCAAACGCCTACCAAGCTACATAGAGGATGGCATCCTAGGCGGCCTATAGACTGTCTAAACCTGGACCAGATTCAAGGACTGCCGCCTGGTACAAGGTAGTTTGCCATACAGTATGAGAAGGACTTGAAACGTGTGACTGAGAACATCAGAAAAGCCCAGCATCAAATGGTGGAACAAGCTAATAAGCACCGCAGACCGTCGCAGTTCGCTGTAGGTGACTTAGACTGGGTCAAGCCCAAGGAGTTCCTCCCCGAAGAAGGCATATCACAGAAGCTGCTGCCAGCTTATAGAGGACCTTGGCAAGTTCTCGATGTCATTGGGGGCGCAGACGGTCCCTCCTACACAATAGAGATCCCACCGCATCTGCACACTTATCCGGTTTTCCACGCATCCAAGTTACTCCCCTATACGGCCACTGATGAATTCCCGTCACGGAGGTCAATGATCCCACCTGATATGCATGGTAGGTATGATAATGACAGAATCGTAGCTGAAGATGTCTACCAGTCAGGACGAAGGGGACGACCCCAGCTACAATACAATTCAGAATTTCAGATTCGCGTACCAAGAGCCCGAAGAAGATCGCTGGTTTACAAGAGAGGAGCTTATATAAACTGCGCCAGATATCGTTTCCTATTATGAGAGAGAGAGGAAAGGGATGGACGTCGCAGATAGGTAAAGATTGTATTTTTCTTGGAGGACCTTGAAAGTAGGCCGGCGGGAGTAAAAGGGCTTCATGCTGTAGACACCTGAAAGCCCGGCACCAGGGTCCCAAAGTCTCGGAAGTTCCAAAGTCCCAGACCCCAATGTCCCACTAGAGTAGGTACGATAGGCCAGTTTGAGGCGTCGTAGGTCTAAGCCGGGCCAACATACGGAAAAGTCGGCCTGCTGCAGAATATTCTGGTACAGAGGAAAGTCCAAGTCCAGGGTCAGTCAGTCCAGTCCCAAGTCCACAAACTTGCAGCAAGTCCCAGGAAAGTTCGGAAGTTACCGGACCGACAAAATGATTGCAACAGAGGCCGTTGCTGACCGGTACCGGTCCGAAGCAGGCCAAGGCATGACAAGTCCTATATTTAGCTGCTACAGTGCAGCGACTCATCGGTTGTTCATTCGTGAAGTTGCAGAAGCACTGATGCTGCTTGTGTGACCAAGTGACTTGGGCAAGACTGCGCGCGAAGAAGAAGGGAGAGCCGACGTCAATCATAGCTAGAGCAGTGATAGGGAAGCAGAGCGGCCAATGCCGCCAAGGTCTGAGTCTGATCTGAGCGGGTGCACACAGAGCACGATCCAGGGGGCAGAAGAGAGAGAGGTTGGGTGATACAAGACTAGAGGGAGAGAGAGAGAGTAGACTGTGAGGTTGGGCGATACAAGACTAGAGGGAGAGAGAGAGAGAGTAGTAGTCGGGTACATACCTATTTCACGTGTGTGGATGTTGTGTGAGCGGCGAAGCCGCAGAAGAATCGAACACTTTCTTTGTATAATAATAATACTCTGGTGCCAATCCTTCATGCAACTCTTGTGCGTCGGCTACTTGTTTCCATCGTCGATTCTCATGTGAATGCCCGTTGCATGTGTGTGCAAGGTTGAGGGTGATTGACTTGTGGATCATTGCAAATGAAACGAAGAGAACAAAATAGTTTGAAGGGGCAAAAAAAGAAGAAAAAGAACCAAAAAAAAAAAAAAATCAGCAACGGGAAATAGGCAAATGAGCAGATGGCCTGGTGGCTCAGTGGTTAGAGCACCGGCTGGAAATGCACATTGTGGTATGAGGTCGCAGGTTCAAAACTCTGCGGCCTCGCACACGTCCGCCATTAGGCGCTTTCATAGCGCCCAGCCATTCGCACAGCTCCCTAGGGCTGACGCATGCTACTTATTACAGACACTGCCTGCGCACCACCCAAGGGGTTAGGTCCATGATTGTGGTATGTTGGTAGCGGCCTTTGGGGGCAGGACTGTTTGAGTGGTTGGCCTTTAGGGGTTAGTGTTGAGTGTCTGTGTGTGGGCTGTGTGTTGAGTATGGTCCGATGATCTCCAGGTCTGTCTCATGTACTCATCATGGGCGGGGGTAGAGGGGATAGATGGGGGCTGGGATGATAAATAGATAGGGGGGGGAGAAGGGATGGGAAAATAAGACTCTGTGTAGGGATTGTGGGCCTGTCTGTGTGCACCGCTTCGTTCGTATGGGCTGCTCTATGGGTGTATCTGGGTGTGTCTGGGTACCATGGTTGTTTCCCGGCTTCATGATCCACCCACGAGAGTCCATACCCACATCGTACGACCCTAGGTCCCGGGTAGACCCTGCTCTCTACACCCCTTGAGTAGTGGTAGTGGTTGGGTGTTAGGCATATACGATTCCCACGGGCGGACTTCAGGTTGATCTCACGATGCTTGTGGGCTCGGCTTCATCCGGGTTGGTGTCTGTCTGAGTTCCCACTGAGGGGTCGACTGGGGCGTGAGTCTAGGTAGGGTCATCTTAGGCAGGGGGGGGAGGGTTGTCGCATCGATGTAGAAGGGTGGCTTCGCCACCCATAGAGTCTGCACGATGTGATAAAGGGGGGGAATGACCGTGTATGTCCGTGACCCCTCTTGTATCCGGGTCGCCCTCGAGATTCGGGGTGTCCCTATAGTAGCGCCCGGGGGGTAAGTGTCTACGACCCCTCAGAAGGCGCGGGTTGGTGTAGGTCTAGGTCTAGATAGAGAGGTATGGGCCGCACTGCTGTAGAGCTTGACTTGCGATAAGATAGGATATAACAGGTCAAGAATCACAGCCCCTGGAGGAAGACTGTCCTTGGGGTTGTCACAAGCCATCTGATCCCCTCACTGGTTGAGTACAACGACAGACACCTCCCGAGGCCTAGCATCCACCCTCTACCACGACATGGACCTTAAAAAAA